CCCCCCCCCCCCCCCCCTCCCCTCTACCTTTTTAGAGCTGCACTAACTTAAAGAAGTACTGCGGCGAGTTTGACAATTGGGGGGCCGTCATGTCAGTTAATGCAGAGCTTTTGTGCAGCTTTGAGTTACTTAAACCCCTTGACTCAAGTGCTCTCAAGAGTCATATCAAGAAGGGTCGCAACAAGAGACAACATATGCTTAACAGTCCTGTGAGTGCTCGAGATTTGGCAAATGCAGAGCCAGCTCTAACATAAACAGCCCGCGAGTGTCTATCCCCAGAGTGTATAGTGAGACCTACACAGATGAGCTATAAGCTTACCGCGGTTTTCACCTATATCATGGCTAGGCACATGATATTTTTATGCCGGCGCGACGGTTATTTCAGAGCCATGTTTGGCTGAGTAGCGCTATTATCGGGCATGACATCTCGGCGCCAGCGACAGGCACACCGAAGAGTCGGTAACGTAGTTGGCGGATCCGTGCACCAGAACCGCACGAGTGCATCATTTTGGCCAGCGTGGATATTGAGCTCGACCTGGCTCTCGCGGCCGTGTATGACTGGCGTTTAATGGCAGTCGACGCAGGTTGTCGATTGGCTAGGCGTTTTGCTTTTTCTTTCTTGTGGTGCACAATGCTTGGGAAGTTGTGTTATTTGATGGCTTAAGTTATTCATAGTTGTGCTATCAGCGCCTGTTCGTGTGCTAAGGCGTGGCCGTGTTGAGATGTTGAGTTACGAAGACGTTGGAATATACAATACTACAGAAGGCATATGAGTCGGTGGTGGGCCGCGAGGACCGGTGTAGTGGGCTATCTAGCATACTTGTTTTGAGATTTCCTTAATATGAGAACCCTTACGCATTTGATTGAATGAATTGTAAGTGTTGCAGAAGTTCTGTGACGCAATTGTAGAAAGTCTTGAAGTGCTGTGGCATGGTGGCACAGAGACGTGGCTGCTTAGTCACCACCAACACGGCGGAAGAAATTTGGTCTGTACCTAAGGAGCTTGGAAATTTGGACGGCAGCAGCCGACATCGACACGCGCACACACAACCACACGATGAGCACACCATCCTTTCGCTCGCTGGTCTGCTCCCGGGCCAGACCAGAGCTGCTCAAGACTGGCCACGCCCTCGGCAACTACTTTCGCGAGTTTTCCACGACGCAATCGCTCGCCGACAATGCAACCGCACCCCCAAGCGGCCGCGGCAATGACGACAGCAACGGCCGTGGACAAGGTAACGCCCGCGAGCGCGGCCGCGCGGCCGTCTCCGCTATAAACACCATGATGAGAGGCCGTGGAAGGTCTGTCGCCGCCCCTAGACCCGACGGCGGCGCTCCTACCGCCGGTGCCGGTGGCCCTAAGGTCCTCGACGTCCGCAGCCTGCCCAGGGGCCTGACGCGAGGGCGCGGCGGTTTTCGCGGATCTGGCGGCGGCAGTTCGACGGGCCCAGCGGGCGTGAATCGATTCGCGGCGCAGGGCAGAGGCGGCGGTAGTGGAGGAGGACGCGGCGGCTTCCGCGGTCGAGGGGGCGCTGCTAGCTCCCGCGGTCGAGGCAACCGAGGCGGCCGAGGCGGTCGCCGCGGTGGCCGTGCGGAAGACGGCGAGAAGAGAGACGGTGGTGGACGCAGAAAGGGCGGCGCCCCGGAAGCGGATCCCTACGCCGTCATGGACGAGGCCGAGACGGCATTTGACACGGCGATTCGGTTCCGCCAGCGCACACCGTACGACCCGGCGCTCGACGTTGATGGGCTGCTCGCGCACGCGCCCGCCGTGCCAACCAGCGTCGCCGGCCGCCGCGCTGCGATACTAGGCAGTCTGCAGGCCATGGGCGGCGGTACGGGCGACTCCATCGGCGCGCCGAACGGCTACCTGCCCAGCGCGGTCGACGGCCGCGTTCAGCAGGACGGGCTCGCCTTCTTTGCGACGCCCGCGGCGCGGGGCTGGGCCGAAGAGCAGATCCAGGCCAAGCAGCGCGAGGGTGGTGGTGACGCTGCGGCGACGACGACGACGACGACGACGACCGCGTTTGCGACGGTGGGCGAGGCGGTGCAAAAGGTGGTGTTCGAGGCTGCGGTGGTTGGCGCGCACGAGACGCCCCGGTTCGCGACTGACGTGCACGGCATCGTGCGCGCGCAGCACCTGCGCGCTGGCAGCTACGGGCCCGCCGCCACGGCCATGTTTGAGAAGAAGCTGCGGAGCCTCGTGGGAGAGCCGAAGCCGGCTGCTGTAGAGGCAGAGAGGGCCGAGGAAGCAAAGGCTTGAGCGGTTCTGAGTGCCGACAGTTCAAATGTACAAAATGCAGTGACAAGGGGGGGTTCAAGGAAGACGACGGTTGCGGTGGAGATGGGCATTACAGCAAAAGAGGTCTGATGGAAACGGAGAGAAGTAATGGTGTATCATTGCAGCTCGAGCAATAGCTGCCTGTCTCAATAACGCTCTCATCAATGTACATGTACAATATTATACAACAAAATAATAGATGCCAAAGTGTCATATGTGTCCTTATCTAACATTACCGCTGCCAGCTAGTGTCTGCCGACCTGCTTGACGCTCTGCGCCTCGAAGGCATCAATCTCCTTGATCTTCTTATCCTGTAGCTTCTGCACCTCCTTTTCCACCTTTTTCAGCGCGTCCGGCAGCAGTGCGCCGCTCTTGCGCGCTGCCTTGAGCAGCTTGTCGTGCCTGGTGCGCGCCTGCCGCACACGCTCGCGCCACGCCTGCGTCGCCTCCTTGACGCGCCGCACCACCTCTTCCGGCCGCTCCGCCTCGACGCGCAGCAGCAGCTCAAGTTCGTTGTCGTCGGACCGCTGCGGCTGCTGATTAAAGTCGGGGCTGGTCTGGACGGCCGACATGATGGGTTTCACGTAGGCCTTTTCGTTGACGAGCAGCGAGACGGTGCGGCCAGCGCGCGGGACGACCTGAGCGAGCTCACGGAGCGGAAACGTCTCGGTCGAGTTCGAGCCGGCGTCGGCCCTTTTTACGGTCACGGGCAGCGCGCCGAGGTGGGAGGGGTTGAAGCGGCCCCCATGCAGCACGGTCTGGACTTGAGTTTGAAAGTGGGCGTCGGATTCGGCAAAGGCCGCCGAGACGGGGTCGAGGTCGAGGGGGTCGAACTCGTCGCTACCGCTGCTGTTGCTCAAGGACGGGCTGCTTTTGCTCTTGCCGGATGATGAGGACCCCGCGGGCGAGGAGGACGTGGAGGGGGCGTCGGGCTTGCGCTTCTTGAGATGGGTGGGTGATGTGCTGAATGGCTGGGCGAGGCGGGCAGAGGCCAGGGCGGCGGTTCGGGTCGAAGTGAGGGTTCTGCAAAGATTGAGTTATCAGATGCCTTCTCTTGCAGAGAGCATGATGTCGGCAGCGACCAAGCTCAAGTAGTGACGGGCGCGGGGGGGAGAGGGGAAGGAAAGCAGGACTGTACCGTTCATTGTGTCCGAGGGTGCGCAAGCTGCGCGCGCCCTGGCGGGTGACACGGGCAAAAGACATGATGGCTGTGTGTGCTTTGGCGAAATTGAGCGGTAGTGTGAGTTGTAGAGGGAGTTTTGAGCTCAACTACGTCAATTGATAGCTGTACGACAGGAAATAGGAAACGGAGCTGTAAATAGAAGAGCTGTCGTAATAACTGACAGACAACAGGGCGATAAATTTTTGTGGGGCTGCTGGGACAGCTTGGTGATGAGGAAATAATATCAGTAGCTTTACGGATTACAAAGTATGCAAGACCTGCTGGCTGCTGTCGCACTTTCTCCACATTGTGGATGAAATGTATGCAGCAGAATAGTTGTAGCAAGTTAGCTAATAGTGATGAGCTTGCATTTGCATTCGCGTTTTGTTTGTCTGTCTGTCTTGTCGGTAGCGCAAGACTTCGGCGGTGTAGTAGCACAGCAACCGGCGAGCAGACACGTATGGCAAGCAGCGCAAAGAATAATGCATAGAGTGTATGTGGTAAGTAGACCGTGTAAAAAGGAGAGCTGGAGAGAATGGCAAAAAAATATCAGGAGCTGCAAAAATATGATCGTGGCAGGGTTCGAACCTGCGACCTTTTCGGATGAAGGTGATGACTGTAAACGAAACGCGATAACCACTACGCTACACGACCTGGGCGCTTGGCTGCTTAATTACAAATACAAAGGCTTGAAGCGTCTGGCAGTCTCTTCCTGCTCCGATTGGGTGTAAGAAAGTCCATTTTTTTACCAATTTCCATCAATCTTTTGATGGTAACCAAAATCTATGTGGAGAGGACCTCGCCTAGTAATTGGGGCTGTTACAGTCAGAAAAAAAGAGGTAGCCAGTGTAGATGCCAAGGGCTGCACTGATGAATCAGTCACAGGGTTTTGGCCTGCACTGATGTTTTCATCAGTATGGAGAATCATCTTTTTCAATTAGTTTCGCAAGGCTTCCTAGTTGAACAGCGTATTCATATACAACAGATGAGCCTGCAGAGAAGGCCATTGTCGAATCAGAGCCTACATGTACTTGGCAGGTGGATTTCCCATCAATCAGTGGTTGAAGAATCCTGCTTTCTCTCCGACTTTTGCAACTCATCTTTAAAGTTGTTTCTCTACCGTCTGTTTTGCAAATAATGCGACTATTATCCTTTGGTTTCAATCAATTCACACGTCGTCTCACAATCTCACTATTTTGCGACTCAATTTCTTCGGAGTAGACAGCATCACTACCCCGGTTACTCCACAGCCATCGCCGCACTCCGCGGGCCTCCAGCTGCTACAGTGGGGATGTAGCTCCCCCCGCAGCGCCCTCTGGCAACGGAGAGCGCCCTGTAAATTCCCTGGGTAGCCCACCGCACCCCGCGCCGCCGCTGGGGGAGCAAGGGAGCAACGGAAACCCGCGGCCGGCATTCCCTCCGACCTCGCGTTACAAACCAAGCTGCCCGACGATTCCACACCAAGTATCCCAGCTCTTCCTTTCTTGCATCTGCATACACCTTTCGCGAGAAAAAAAAGTTCCCGAGAAGCAAGAGCGGACAGTATTGCGTGATAGCAATAGTCACAGAGCAGCATCGCGGGCCGCAGTTGATTGTAGGTTCAGTCCCACCAGAGCTCTTCACAGGCACGCCAGCACCATCATTTGCGTCATGGCGACATCACCAACAGCATAGCTAACATCGGCAGGAGCAGCTACGCGACAGCTCACAGCTGTGTTTCACTCTGCCAATAATCAGCCCTTCATATAATGGCCCTTTTGCAACGAATTGCAGCTCAATCGACTCTTCGCTTTGTTCCGGCCGTGTCCATGACCCTGGCCCGAAGCGCTTCCACCATGGCACCCAAGGTACGTTTCTGCAACCAAACGCGCCTCGGTCGCCCGAGCAGCAGCCCTGCTAACCCGCAATCTCGCGTACACAGCTCAACGATCCTTCGCTCCTGAAGCAAAATGTGAATTACATCAACGGCCAATTCGTGCCGTCCATCTCCGGCAAGACCTTCAAGGTCACTGGTAGGTTCTATTCTCACAGCTGTCCCCCTCCGGTAGCCTCGGCACTGCGCTAACCTCTCCCACCCTGCTTGGCAAGACCCCTCAACGGGCGAGCTCGTCGGCACCAGCGCCGAAGCTGACGTCGACGATACCCAGAGCGCCATCGAGGCAGCGGCCGAGGCCTTCAAGACGTTTCGCAAGCAGACGGGTCGCGAGCGCGCCAAGCTACTGCGCAAGTGGTTCGACCTTATGAACGAAAACGCCGACGACATTGCCAAGCTCATCACCTGGGAGAACGGCAAGCCCATCGCCGACGCCAAGGGCGAGACGGCCTACGCCGCCAATTTTTTCGAGTGGTTCAGCGAGGAGGCGCCCAGGACCTATGGCGACACCATCCCCAGCTCGCTGGCCGCCAACCGCGTCTGGACCGTCAAGGAACCCGTCGGCGTCTGTGGCCTCATTACTCCGTAAGCAATCTACCAACGCGGGTGGCAAGCATGGACCTCGATGACTGACTGTCCCTTGCAGCTGGAACTTTCCCGCCGCCATGATTACGAGAAAGATTGGTCCGGCCCTGGCAGCCGGCTGCACCGTCGTTTGCAAAGCCCCCCACGAGACGCCCTTTACCGCCCTGGCCCTGGCCGAGCTCGCCCACCGTGCCGGCGTCCCCAAGGGCGTCGTCAACATCATTGCGTCGCTCGAGAACACGCCCGCCGTCGGCAAGGCGCTCACCACGTCGCCCGTCGTCAAAAAGGTGTCCTTTACCGGCTCCACCGGCGTCGGCAAGCTGCTCATGAGCCAGTCCTCGAGCACCCTCAAGAAGCTGTCCCTCGAGCTCGGCGGTAACGCTCCCTTCATCGTCTTTGACGACGCCGACCTCGACGCCGCTGTCGCCGGCGCCATTGCCTCCAAGTTCCGCTCCTCGGGCCAGACGTGCGTCTGCGCCAACCGCATCTACGTGCAGCGCGGCATCTACGACGACTTTGTCGCTCGCTTCGTCGAGCAGGTCAAGTCCTTCAAGGTCGGCAACGGCTTCGCCGACGGCGTTACCCACGGCCCGCTCATCCACGACCGCGCCGTCACCAAGGTCCGCAACCACGTCGACGACGCCGTGAGCAAGGGCGCCAAGGTGCTCGTCGGCGGCCAGGCCATGCCCGACCTCGGCGACAACTTTTTCCAGCCCACCGTTCTTCGTGACATGACGGTCGACATGGCCGTCGCCACCGAGGAGACGTTTGGGCCCCTCGCTGGCCTTTTCCCGTTTGACACCGAGGCTGACGTCGTGAGCATGGCCAACAAGTCCGAGGTCGGCCTCGCTGGCTACTTTTACTCGCGCGACCTGGAGCGCGTCTACCGCGTCGCCGAGAGCCTCGAGGTCGGCATGGTCGGCGTCAACACGGGCATCATCTCCGACGTCGCCTCGCCGTTTGGCGGCGTCAAGGAAAGCGGCTTCGGTCGCGAGGGGTCCAAGTACGGCATCGCCGAGTACCAGGTGACCAAGATGATTACGTTTGGTGGCATGAACAAGCCTCTGCAAAGCTAAGCACTTTTGGGCGAATATATATTAAAAAAGAAAAGCTAGCAAGTAGTCCATGATTTAGAGCATTCTTATTTCTCGTCATGCAAGCTATCCAAGTGCGACTTGAAACTGTTCCGGGTATTATCATCTCAATGTTGTTGTTTTGCCATCTGTGATACATGTTCATAAGTACATCCCTCCCTCTTTCTCTGTCTCTCTCTCTCTCTCCTTCGATTATATTATGCGAATCGTGTCACTTCCTGGCGGAGAGGCAGCTTTCGGTCCAGCGTGTGGAAAGCCTGTGTGCGAGGAGTAAAGGGCGTGGAGGGAAATGCCTGCATCTCAGTGCCCTTGAGGTTCTGCGTGCTGTGGATCGACTCGCTGTCTGACTCGTCCTCAAAGTGTTGGCTGCTCTTGGGCCACATGGCGTAGATGGCGAATCCAAGATTGAGTAAATACAAGATGCTGGAGCAGCCAAGTTAGCGAGAAGGGTCACATCGGGGAGGCTGAACAAGGTCGAAAACGTACTGCATGTAAAATGTTGCGCCGAGAGAGCCCTGGGCAATCTGGCACGACTTGTAGGCGCCGTAGCGCTTGGCGAGACCGCAGCCCTGGCGAAAGTACCACGCGGCGGGCGAGGGGTAGCGCGGGTCGGCATAGTCGGGGCCAATCTGGCCGTAGATGCTGACTGTGTAGAGAGCCAGGAGCGCCGTGTTGATGAAGACGGCAATGACGGGAAACCACAGCTTCATGATGAAGGCGATGAGCTTGGCCAAGAGGAAGAAGAGCGAAATGATGGAGATGGCGACGTTGAAGTTGGTCAAGCTGTGGTCAATTAGCAAAAACTCGAAAAATCATGTTGGTCAAACGATTGGGTAGGGAGCTTACGTGGAGGACCAGATGAGCGGCACATTGGGCAGTGGCGTGAAATTGGCGTAGGCATAGATGATCATGTTGGGATTGGAATTGAGGCCATGGTCGTAGCCAATCTGCCACATCTTGGTGCGGTAGAGATCGGGTTGCGCGATGCCGTAAATGACGAGCACAGCAATCAGGCCGATAAGCTCAAGCGGCATCATCCAGACGGTTGCCTTGCGCGAAATCTTGGGCCATTTGCGGTGAAGAATGTGGTAGGACCGATTGCTTGGTGAGAAGACTCCCATGATGGCGGTGATTTTCTGCGCGACACGATGAGATTTTCAGGGTGGCTGGTGAAGTTGAAAACGGATTTGGCGTCGAGGCGTCACTGGCCAAATTGAATTGCGTGACTTTGCTGGCAATGGTGAATGGTGCGTCAAAATCTGTTGATGCGACGAATTGCGCTGGTCGGACACGAAGCTTTGCGAAACCAGGCCAGCTGCTTTGGGCGTCTTGGATGCGCTTTGCTCGTCGCAGAGTGAAGGGAAAAACGATCGAGGGGGCGGTTTGAGAAGAAGAAAGAGGGGGCCGCGGCCGGGTTTAAACCAGCAACAGCAGCGTAAGCGCCGGCCATCGATGAGGGTGTCGGCATCGGGAGGGGTTCTGGTGCAGCGTGCAGCGTGCAGCATCGCCAGCCAGTGGTGAGGCTCCTGTAAGCGCCCAGATCGAATTGGGGTCGACGATTGGAGGGTGGCCGTGGCAGCTCAGGCCAATGAGCGACGCTGGGAGCGCTGAGCTGTGGACTCGCCGTTGTCATCCGCGCAGCTAGTTGGTGGGGTTCGGCCGTCTAGAGGCGGTGGATAGTTAGGAGCGATTCGAGCGAATAATAAACTGTGATAGGGATTGTGATGGCAGAAAGGTGGTGTAGATGCTAAATAGAGCTGCGATGAAGATGCAAAATACCTATGTTGCGGCTTTGGGAGCATTTTGTGTTTGTCTTGGTGGATCAAACAGAGAGAGCATTGGGCAGCTGGCAGCTGGCAGCCGTTGTGATGTGCTAATCACACTTATGAAAGCCTGCCAATTGACTTATTGTGCACAACCGCAAACACATGTTCCGCGTTTCCTAGAGTAGTCGCATTTCTCCCATGATCGAGACAGTTGGTCTTTGGCACACTGCGCATGTAGTCGTGGGCAGATTACTCTAACGATTCCGATATCTTTGGACAGTCAAGCATTCCGTAGTCGCATGTGCTCGTCATGGCATCATCGTCATTGCTGACATC